TTTCTTTGCCGGCAATACTGTCTGCCTAAGACTATTAGCCGTCGCTACGGCTGCCTTCAGGGCCTCAGTGAACGGTCAGTGGACGTTCATCGGCGAGTATCAATATCCCCTGACCTTCATCAACAAGACAACGAGCTCGGGGCTCAATGTTAGGGCGTTAGACTCTGATCAAAAAGGTCGCGAGTTCGAGCTTCTGTGCCCTCTCCCAACCTGACCCTGGAACAGGAGTCGTCCGTAATGCCGGTGGCTTTGCGCTAACATCCAGGGAAATGTTTGTTTAGCGTTGCACTAAGGTGATGGTTAAGGCTACGGTAAGGGTTAAGATTAGAGTCACTCTTTCGTTTTCTTGACTTCTCAGACTCTGTATCCAGCAGTCACGCGTACGTTAAACCTAATGATAACAACTATAAAGGTAGTACCGTACTATTAAGCAATAGTGGTAAAGGATAAACAGTGTAAAAACCTCGATAATGGACATACCAAATATAGAACGAAGGGAGTTTGCCAAATCGTCTGCTTCTATATAAGGGAACGACACAGGTTGAACAATGACGCCACGGAGGACGAAACTAGTCTTGGAAAAGCTTGTGTGTGTTAGTTGGAGAGGAGGTGGCTCTGTTTTTATATGATTTCACGAAACAATTCATGTAGCATCAGGATTGGTTTGAGAAAATCAGCGCGAAGGGGGAGAGAGGTTGGTGAACAGAGGCCATATGAAAGTGTCAGCGACGGGGGATGGCTGGACGAGTGGTTTTCGAAGTAGCCGCGGCAGTTGGGTCAAGAAGGGAGGAGGGGGGAACGGACAGCTGGTTCGCCATCACAAAGGCCCTTCAAGGGATTTCATCTCCTGGAGTCGAAATGACTGTCTCTGGCATCAATGGGGAGTCGATAGCATCCTGTGAACCGAACTGGGGGGCTGGGGTCATTTTTCAGTTATATACAATGGAGTGAAAAGGTAAATACGGGAGGACGGCCAGCATTTGAGGGAAGAAAGGAACAGCCTTCATAAGAGGTAAACAATCATTTGTGGGTAGGACGGGAGTTTCATGGAGAAGGGACGGGGAGAATTCCAGACTTGTTCAGCCGGAAATAACAGTCGCCGTAAGGATTTGGGTTAGGCGTAGTGTTAAGGCAAGCGAAGCGACGATACCCGCTGATGAACGTTCAACAACCGCTAAAGGAACTCCCTTGTCCACTCTCCTTTGGGTCTCATTTCTCGGGTCTTGACGGCAGTCCTAGCAGCTGATAGTATAGGCAGGTAGTATTGCTAGCAGGGCAAAGCGAGACTAGAATGGCCATTTTTGGCGGATTTCTGAATCTAATCAAAAGGTCGCGAGTTCGAGGCTAGGGTGGTTCACCTCTTGGATCTGGGCATGACTGTCTGACGACGGCTAATGAGCCAGAAATGGACATTCCAGTCTCCCTGCTTTTTGGTGGCAATACTATCTGCCCATACAACTAGAAGCGACGATACAGTCAGCATACAGTACTCAGGAGGGGAGTGACCTGGTAGCTTACAGGCCTGTCGGACGTAATTCTAGTATCATTCTCTCAGGGATATGGGATGGCGGAGGGGAAAGCTGTCAATGACTTCTGTTTACATTTTGCCATTTTATCGTGACGGGACAGCACGCGGGAGCGAGCGGCTTGTGCGTTGTAACAACAGGTTTCTTCCTTTAATTCAGGAAACAAAAGTAAATCCAACCAAACTGGGAAGCTAAACACACCAGATACGCTGGCAAAAGAGCTCGCTTTTATCCAAAACACTGTGGAAAAATGGCTTCCCAGTATGTTTGCCATAAAGAATATATGAAAAAGTGCGCCTAAAGACTGACATGCCAACAGCTGGATAGAAGGAGCTTATTTTCATACTGTCATTTCCTTGTGGACGCGGGCACCTAACTTGTATAGCATTTCTTAAACACTGATTTTGCGCGCACGTACCTATACGCTAAGATGAGAACAATTAGAATGGATCCGACAAACCAAAGGGAGACAGGAATGGCCATTTCTGGCTTATTAGCCCTCAGCAGCCAGTCATACCCAATCTCAAGGGTTGGAACCCCGCGATTCGAACCCGAGGCCTTTACTCATTGATTTTGCCATGCTACCACTGCAGTACTGTCTCGTTTCTTTATTGGGTCCATGCTATCCAATCCTCTTAGTTGTTATGTGACTGCCTACGCGGACTTTAGTTGTGAGCTCCTAAGCGAAGCGGAACTTGATTATTCCTCTACCAGATCGGCGAAGCCATATCATATTCCCAATCTCAATCGACATGCACAGAATCCGTGATGCAATAGTAAAGTGGCAAACTCAATGACCAAAGGTCCCGGGTTCGAATCTCGAGGGTTTCCAACCTTGAAATAGTCACTATGTGACTGCCTACGAAGGGCTCTAATTGTGAGCTTTTAAGGGAAGCGCAACTTAATTGTTCCTCTACCAGATCACAGAAGCCCATATATTCTTCATAAGAACAATTACATTCGAAGCGCCGTGGTTCTTCTTTCTGAAGACAAGGATGAACTACCCTTTTAGACAGTAATATTGTTGGCACCGTCAATTCTGGCTTATTAGCCGTCATTAGCCAGCTATACCCACCCCAAGTGGTGAAAGACCCAAAGGGGAATATCAACTTTTCCTAGAATTTGGCATAAGGCCACTCGTATTGTATAAGGGTATTGAGGGATGTTAAAGCAAACAGGAACAATCACCACGTTTTTCTGACGATGGAAACAAGCAAGTGTCCGAAATTTCAGTTCCCATATATAACTCGGTCCATGTCCTTGAACCTTCTTCTTCGTCTTCTTTGGGGGATGGTGAAAACGATAAGATATCTGGACCTCAAATCTTTGTGCATATTACTTTAAAGTTGATGAGTTTAAAACTAATGGCTGCGATCTTGCCGGCCCGTTTCCTTAGGAGAATACAGAACTCATGGGAAGGCTAGAATGGTAGAAAGAGTGTATTCTGTACAGAGGGGTTGAAGAATAGGTAGTAGGAGTTTTGACTGTCGGAGCGCCCGTCCTTCCGCTAGAGCGG